CTTTATTAACACTAATGGGTAAAACTAGATACAAGATATTTTGTTTCCCTGCCAAGTAGCAACTGATTTACCATGGAAAGCAATTTTCCTCTTATAACCTAGATTTCTTGGGAGTCACTTTTGATTCCTCCTCTCTTTATCACTTCCCACAAACTTTCAATCCATCCTATAGCTTATTATTTCACAATGTGTCTTAAATTTATTATACCCTTTCCTTCCTTCTACCTGAGTGCTGGTGAATGATTTTGCCTTCCTTTGCTGGCTCTCCCCATCTGCAATAAATAGGTTTCCCCCAAAGAAGATGATTTCCTTTCTGGGTTTTCCTGATACTGCTCAATCCTAGTATTCCTCCAGACCATTCCTTCTTAACTCTCTTCTGCAGATTTCATCATCAAAGTCTTGCATGCTATAAGTAGGTGTCTCCCAGGGCTATGTCCTAAAGCCCTTTCTCTTTCTACACTTCTCCCTTGGTGATCTCATCAGTTCCCCAGCCAGCCCTCATTTCTCTCCAGAACTCCAGTCCCAAATATCAACTACCTTGCTGAGATGCTTCATAGGCAGAACTCACTATCTTTCCCTCAATCTAATTCTCTTCCTAATTCCATTTCTGTCCAGTTGCCCAAGTTTGAAACCTCAGATTCATCCTCAATACCTTACTTTCCCTCAACCTTTATATCCAATTAGCTGTCAAGTGCTGTCAATTCAACTTCTTTAACATTTCTCCTATCTACTCACTTTCTCTTCCCCAGTTCAAGGCCTTATCACATCTCACCTATACTACAACAGCCTCCTAATTGGTCTAACTCAGAGGTTCCCAAAGTGGGTGATACTGTCCCCTGGGGGGCACTGGAACAATGGGGGGGGGGCTGAGCAGTGGTAGCAGCCTCGGTTACAATTAAAGGGCACTGAATAAAAATAAGGGGGCCGTGGAAGCATAAGGAAAGAAGATTAGAAAATTCTGAAAAACCATTCATATATGTTTCATTTGTTGTGTAACAGAGTTAAAGTCCTAGTGATTACATTATTTTCCAAATAAACACACAAAATGCAAATTATAACCAATCAAATTCGAAGACAGGTCTTAAGCCAGTTTACAATACGATACTATATGGTTACATGATGCAATATGGTGTTATCAAAATTTCAATGCAGGAAAAATGACATTTAAAATAAATTATTAAATTTAAGACGTATCATCTTTTTAAAAAATACTTATTTTTTGAAATGATGCAAATTTTTTTAAAAAAACCATTAAAGGGTTAAAGATTTCCAGGGAGGTGATGAGTAAATTTTTTTTAAAGGGGGCAGTAGGTCAAATAAGTTTGGGAACCTCTGGTCTACTACTTCCAGTCTTTCCCCTTTGCAATCCATCCTAAATATAGCTGTCAAATTGATATTACTAAAGCATAGGTTTGGCTATATCACTGACTCCCCATCGCCCAAAGGATAAAATACAAATTCTTTTGCTGAGTAGTTAAAAATTCTTCATAATAGGGCTCCAATCTAACTTTCAAATTGGGTTCATATTACTCTCCCTCTCATAATTTACAACTTGCTGTAGCCTGTACATGATATTCTATCTCTCACTTCCATACTTTTGCACAGGTTGTCCTTCATTGGTAGAATACTCTTCTTCCTCACCTCCACCTTTGGAATACTTGGCCACTTTCAAGGCTCAGCTAAATACTGCTTACTCCTGCTCCACCAATTTACCACTCAGGAATTTACTTTGTACAAAATTTTCATTTACTTATAGCATACATTTGTATCCCCCAATGCAATGTAAGCTCCTTGAAGAAATGTTTAGTTTATGTCTTTTAATTTCAAGCACCTACACAGCACATTATTTTTCGCCCCCTCTTCTCTTCTATCTCCAAAAAACAAAAGAAAACTCAGCTTCTCTTTGCAACTATTTCATTACCATCAGGGTAGCACAACTCTTTCAGCACCTAGCACAGTGTCTTGCTGGGCATAGATGTTCAATAAATGCTTGTTTAATTAAATTGAAGGCTCTTTTCTTGGTCTTTTGTTCTTGAATGGTCCAATTTAATTCAAATATTACCCATGTTTTATGTGCTTTGCACATGTAAGTAAGATCTGGGGTGGAAATAAACTCCTATGTGTCAGGCACTATGTTAGTTGCTGAAAGAACAGTGATATATCTGAAAGAAATGAGATAGTTGTAAAAAGATGATTTTCTTTTTTTTTTTGGTGGAGAGGAGTTGGGAATGAGGTGGGTTGAGAAATGACTTGGAAAACCAATTATTTTAAACATGATAAATCTGAGGCAACAATGGCACATAGGATCATTGAACTAAAATATGAAAAAGACCTTTGAGAACATCCACATCAATTTCTTAATTTTGTAAAGGAAAAAAATGAAGCCAGAAAAATGAAATGCCTCCTCAAAGGCACACAGCATATGGAACACAGAAAGAATTTAAACCCAGGTCTTCTAACTCCAAAATCTAGTGCCCTTTCCATGACCTCACACTGTCTCTCATTTAAGTGAAGGTGGTTTGTAAACATGGGACATGAGTTCAGAGCAGCCTAGACATGAAAGCTGACACCATTTAAAAGAATGAGATTTCCTAGACAGCAACATAGAGTAAAGAGAGTCAAGAGGAATAATGCCCTCACCTAAAACTTTTGAATATGGGAGAAATTGAGGAAAAGAATGAATGTCAATTTTCCTCTCAGTTCTTTGAAATGTTTCCCACATATTCCCTATTTCTCTTTACTTCCACTCCTTACTACAGTGGTCAAGACCAATGTTTTCTCTACATTTTAAAAGTTACCAGATGATCACATTGAGCAATAAACTATGAACACTGCACACAAACAGAATTTAGTGTTATAATCAAATAAAACTTATAACAAAGCAGATCTAACACACTTAATCATATTCATAATTGTTCTTGGATCTCACAATAATTAGCCATTTATGATACACAGCTATCCTGAACCGTCAGCCTTGACCCTGTAACTCCCTTATTCAATAAACTCCAGTGGTTCCCTATTGCCTAAAGGATCAAATACAAACTCCTCTGGCTTTTAAAGTTCTTTGTAACATAATAAACAGAAGGTAGTTAGGGAGGAAGGGCATCAGGAGTTGAAAAAATCAGGAAAGGCTTTTCCAGAAGTGATGTTTGAATTGATCTTTAAGGAAATTAGGGATTAGAATGAGAAATGAGTATTCCAGTCCTGGAGGACAGCCACTGAAAAGCCACAGAGATGGGCATTTTGTGTCTCAGTAACAGCTGTTTTATTCCTAGGCAAAATTGTGAAGAGATGGATGACCCAGAGGACAAAAAGCATGATCATTACATTGCAAGGAGAAAAGTAAAGGGAGAGACTCCAACAAAGGACAGTGGCAAACCTTGAGCACTATAAAATATCTGTCAGTTATTATTTTACTTTAGACTGGATCCTGGCCTCTAGGAATGGGGGGGGGGGATAAAACAGATTTTGTGGTTCATTAGGGAAGGGAACTGGAGGGCAAAGGGAGAAAGCTGGTTCCATATGAAATTGTAACTAAGAGGCACTGTTATTTTTCCCCAATAACTCACAAGACTGACACCCTTCCCATCTTGGAAACACATTTACACTAAAGTTTAAACTACTGGGGGGAAAGTATAGAAAAAAGAGGCTGAGATGACTAAAATTTTGTTTACTTCACAATTTTGCCCAGGACTGAAAAACTGTCCACCTACTTTTCCTAGACAATCAAAAGCTATTCAACTTGCTGAAATATTGAGGGCCCTAAAATTCTTTACATCACTGTAAGCAAGATACTTAAGTGTCAGACGCCTCTCCAGTAAAACAAGAGGACTGCACTAGACAAACTAGGCAGACTAGAATACAGCACAGGAACCTAGAGACTCGGCAACTTGCTTTACTACTTGATAGCTGGGTCATGTTGCAAAAGTCATTTCACTCCACGTCCCAGTTTCCTCATGTATAAAATGGGGGTGGGGTGGACTAGGTCCTTAAATTCTACACTCTAAGCTCTATAATTATAACAAACTGATCTTTATCTCTCCCCTCCTCCAAACCATCCTACATAAATGCTGCCAGACTAACCATCTTAAAACGGGCTTTTCTCATGCTACTCCAATGTTCAACAATTTACAACGGTCCCTTAATGCTTTCTATATCAAATTCAAAACTCCTGTAATCCAGCTTTAAAAAACCTGCCATAAACTAGTCACACTCTACCCAACCTTATTTACTCCTTTTCTTCCAAGTCCAAACCCTCAGATTCGTAGCTTCATCTTTTTGATTATTCTTATATTTTACATCTATTATTTTTATACACAAAAATGTAAATATTTTGTATTTATTATTTTGTCTTGCCCTCCCCTTGCCTCCGGCCAAGATATTATTTCTTTGGGATTCCTATCCCTTCACGTACCTCTCCTCATGCTTCCAAACCCTGGGGTACATACACAGTGATGCTCAATGAATACTTCCTTGGACCTAAGTTACGCGCACCTGAAGCTGCAGCTCAACCGCTGGACCCAGGCATCGGTTCTGCCCTTACAAGCCGGGGGTGGCGGGTTCGGAGGCAGAGTGCCCGGGGCGGCACCCCTGGGCTCCGAGGCTGGGCATCCTGGTCTACTTTCTCCCATTCCAATCCCCCGCCAGGCCCCACCCGGCCAAGGTTTCCAGGGTGGGTCCGAGGGCAGCAGCCCTCTCTCCATCCCAGCCAGGGCTCGGGTTCCCATCCCATCCCATCCATCCCCCCCCCCCGGAAAGCCCACCAGGGGCAGGGGCACCATAGACAACGGATCTCCACTCCCTGCCTCCGCCTCTCCCGGAGAGACCCTGACCCTCCACTCTGCCTCCGTCACCCAGCCCGTCCCCTTCTCTCCCCCCCACCCCGCCACGGCCGCCTTCCCTCCCCCACAACGGGGCGGGGTCCGCCCGGAAGCTGCGCCGGGAGCTCGGGAACTGCGAGACGGACGATGTCACGCTCTAACGGCGCGGGCGCCACTCACCCGCTGCCACCAAGAACCAAAAGAAATGCAGGGCTTTCCCTGCGCGAGACCAGAGCGGACCACCGCCCAGGTGACAGCGACCAGCCCACCCGCTGCACTGGAAAAGCGGCTCGGCGTCCGGACTCCGCCGCTTCCGGAAGTGACCGCGTCCAAGTCGGAGCGACTGGGGGGTGGAGAAAAGTTGTCTCTCCGCCCCCAGGCAAATGGATAAAATTAGGGAACGCTTCCACACCGAAGAAAGGAGAAGACCGTCTTCTGTGCTTTTTGGCCACTCCCTCGTGGCATTTTGTCACTTTGGATTTGGCAGGTGTCATTCTTACTCTCTGGATAACCACCCCCTACGTTCCGTAAGGTGGTAGATTCCAGTGGCTGTTCCGCATTCCAAGCTTGCCGGTTCTTGGCACTGACTCTGATCGGGAAAGAGGGAAGGGGCAATGCAGAGCCGGGCCGAGCTGGGCGAGCGCGGAATCTGGACCCTGGGCAGGGCGGGGCCCAAGCAGCCGGGAATTCTGGAAACTGGGTCCAGTGGGAATGGAGGGAAAAAACGTTAGGCGCCGGTAGTGGCGCCTTCCTCCACCTGCTCTGGCCTCAGAAGCCGGCTGGCTGCTATTGCCACTGGGAAGGTAAGAGTCCGAGCTGCCAGCCGGGACAGCTGCCGCTTGGGACACCGGCCGTGCACGGACGCCTTCACCCGCTGGCCCCCGCTGCCCTCCTCTGGTTTCCTTTAGTTGTCTTACCTTCGTCTGGTAGGTAGCGTTACAGAGGAAGTTACGTGCTGGCCTCTCGGCCCGGAACCCGGTTGGTTTTGACTTAAAAAAATCAAGCTTCCTTTTTCTCCTTGAGACTAAAGGATTATATGTCATGGGCATCGATTTCAGGCATTGATGAAAGAGAACTCCCAAAGAAAACACGGCCATTTAATTTTATTTTTTATTTGAAAATTTTAGTTAAAAAACTAAAATTTTTAAAAATTAAAATTTTTCTATTTGTATGGTGATCATAATAACAGGACGATATTTTTCTCAAAATAATTTAATATGCAAGGTGCAGGAGAGAATATGAGTTAGATCATAGGAGATAGGGAGCAGGTGTTGTAAAATAGTCTGTAGACCTGGATTTATGATTAGGTTCTGCTACTTAGTATCTGTATGATTTTCGAAAAATTGCTTACCCTTTCTGGGCCTCAGTTTCCTCATCTGAAAAATGAGCAAATTGTTGCTTCTAGCATCGAATCCTATAAAATCTGTGCATAATTTCTTGTTAACAACATCATTGCATAATAAATGCCTTAAGATGGTGCTGATTTCCCACACATGGTTTTTAATGTTTTAGATGCATCATTTCACTGCCATAGACCTTCCCCCAAACCTCCCAACAAATAAATATAATAAAGCAAGCACATCAACACATTGGTCATTACTGAAAATGTATACCTCATTCCACACCTGTGGTTTCTCCCATGTCTTCAGAGACATGCTTTGCTGTTTTTTTTTAAATTTTTTTTGTTTTTTGTTATGTTTTAAGTTCCAAACTGTCTTCTTTGCTCCCTCCCCAGCCCACACTAGAGAAGGCCACCATTTGACACAGATATATAAATACATGTAAAACCATACTACATATGCTTCCATTTTTCAGTTTTTTCCCTGGAGATGGATAGTATCTCCCTTCACAGGTGTTTTGCAATTGATTTGAGTACTTATAATAACTTATTCTTCAAATAATGTTACTGTATACAAGGTTCTCTTGGTTCTGTTCATTTCACTTCATTATTTCATAGAAATCTTTCCATGTTTTTTTTTCTAAAATCAACCAGGTCATCATTTCTTACAGCATGGTAATATTCCATCACAATCATTAACCACAACTTGTTTAGCCATTAGTCTTTTTTAAAAAAAATTTTAAAATTAATTTATTTTGATCTTATCAACAATCACTTCCATATGCTTTTGAGTTTAAAATTTTTCTCCCCTTTCTTCCCCACCAACCTGCCCAAGAGGGTGCACAATCTGATATAGGCTGTACTTATACCTTCCTATTAAACATATTTTCACATTAGTCATGTTGTAAGTAAGAATTAGAACCAATAGGAGGAACCCCCAGAAAGAAGAAACAAAACTCGACAGAAGAGAAAAAAAATAGCAAATAGTATGCTTTAACCTGCATTCAAATTCCATACTTCTTTCTTTGGATGTGGACAGCATTTTCCATCACGAGGCCTTTGGAGATGTCTTACATCCCTGTATTGCTGGGAAGGGTTAAGTTTATCAATATTAGTCATCGCACAACATGGCTGTTATTGTGTACAATGTTCTTCTGATTCTGCTCATTTCACTCAGCATCAGACCATACAAGTCTTTCCAGGTTTTTCTGAAGTCAGCCTGTTCATCATTTCTTATAGCCCCAATAGTATTCCATTACATTCATATACCACACCTTGTTCAGCCATTCCCCAATTGATGGGCATCCTCTCAATTTCCAATTCTTTGCCACCACAAAAAGAGCTGCTATGAATATTTTTGTACATGTGGGTCCTTTTCCCATTTGTATGATCTCTTTGGGATATAGCCCTAGAGCACATTTTCATAGCCCTTTGGGCATGGTTCCAAATTGCTCTACAAAATGGTTGGATCATTTCACGACTCCACCAACAATGCATTAGTGTTCCAGTTATCCCACGTCTTCTCCAACATTTATCATTTTCTTATTTTGTCATATTGGCCAATCTGATAGCAGCAATGTGGTACCTCAGAGTTGTTTTGATTTGTATCTCTCTAATCAATAGTAATTTAGAGCATTTTTTCATATGACTATAGATGGCTTTAATTTCTTCCTCTGAGAACTGCCTATTCATATCCTTTGACCACTTATCAGTTGGGGAATGACTTGTATTCTTATAAATTTGACTTAATTCTCTATATATTTTAGAAATGAGGCTTTTACCAGAGAGACTGGTTGTAAAAATTCTTTCCCAATTTTCTACCTTCCTTCTAATCTTAGTTGCATTGGCTTTGTACAAAAACTTTTCAATTTAATGTAATCAAAATTGTCCATTTTGCTTTTCATAATGTTCTCTATCTCCTGTTTGGTCATGAATTCTTCTGTTCTCCATAAATCTGGTAGGGTAAACTATTCCTTGCTCTCCCAGTTTGCTTATAGTATCAGCCTTTATATCTAAATCATGAACCCATTTTGACTTTATTTTGGTATATGGTGTGACATTTTGATCAATGCCTAGTTTCTGCCACACTCTTTTCCAGTTTTCCTAGCAGTTTTTTTTTTCAAAGAGTGGGTTCTTATCCCAGAAGCTGGGGTCTTTGGGTTTATCAAATAATAGATTACTATAGTCATTGACTACTGTGTTTTGCATACTTAACCTATTCCACTGATCCACCACTCTATTTCTTAGCCAATACCAAGCAATTTTGATGATTGCTGCTCTATAATAATATTTAAGATCTGGAATGGCTAGGCCACCTTCCCCTGCATTTCTTTTCATTAGTTCTCTTGATATTCTGGACCTTGTTTTTCCAAATGAATCTTGTTATTATTTTTCTAATTCTATAAAATAATTTTTGGTAGTTTGGTATGGCATTGAACAAGTAAATTAGCTTAAGTAGAATTGTCATTTTGATTATATTTACTTGGCCTACCCATGAGCAACTGATGTTTTTCCAGTTATTTAGATCTGACTTTATTGGTGTGAAAAGTGTTTTGTAATTGTGTTCTTACATATAGTTCCTGGGTGCCATTAGTCTTTTTAAAAAAATTAATCTGTCCCCATCCTATTACCCTTCCCCTTATCTTCTCTCAAGGTTCTCCAAAGGTTCCATCTCCTCTGGGAAGCCATTGATCCCCCCTCAGCGTATTTGTGCTCTCTCTCCCTCTTCCAAATTACTTGATATTTATTAGACAGTTTATGTGTTTTAGTTCCCCAATAGAAGGTAAACTCCTTTAAGGCATAGATTTTTTTTTTATTTGTCTGGATATTCCTAGCACAGAGGAGCAGTGAAGAATATTGGGCAGAGAACTGGCCTTGAAGTCAGGAAGATCTGGATTTGAGTGCTGCCTCTCACACTTGCTAGCTGTGTGATTCAGGGCAAGTCCCTAAGACTCAGTTGCCAAGTAGATGCCACTCTGCATTGACAGAGGAGTTTCCTTGATAGGAGTTCCCTATACCAATGAAATTATGGTTCTGGTCCAAAAACATCCCTAGCATAATGCCTTGTATATAATAGGCATTGAATGAATGTTTAATAATGAATATTCTCTCTCATTGACGTAGTTCATGATCAACTTCAAAACCATTTATGAAGTTGGCCCAATAATTCATTCTCCTGTTTGTGATGCTGACCATCTCTATCATCCTGGCAGTGTCCCAGAAGGAAAATTGGACAAACAAGAAAAACTCCCACAGAGCCTGTTTTAATGAATCAGTGGCCCTGCCAGCTCCTTTTGTTCAGTCCAGAAGATTATATACTGAGCACATGGAGTGAGTGCCTTGTGGCTTCAATTATCATGGGAGGGTCTACGAGGAAAAAGATCCAAGGAACTTCAGCTTGGAAGCAACTTTTGAACATCTCACAGAGAGGCCCAAGTCCAAACACAGTATATTTACCTCTCCATGGCTGAACTTTGTGAATATTTACAGTAGTCATCTTTAGCAAATATAATTCAGTTCAATTCAGCAAGCATTTGTTAAGTATCTGCTTCCTGCCTGGCAGTGTGCTAGATGATTAGCTATGTGAAGACAGAAAGAAAAAACGCCTCTGTCATCACAGTCACCTGGCAGAGTAAGATCATGGATCTAGAGCTTGAAGGAGCCTTAGAAGTCACTTAATCCAAGCCCCTCCTTTCCCAGCTAGGAAGCTAAAGTCCAGAGAGCTTGTGCCTTGTTCAGTGTCATAATGCCATTCGTCCTGACATGCTGTCTCGGCACTCTGGCTTTGCATTTGTATTGGCCACCCCTCAGGCCTGGAATGCACTCCCTTCTTATTAAGGACTTAAAGAGTTCTTTTCCTTTAAGATGCAGTTCAGGCACCACCTGCTGCATGAAGCCTTTCCTGATTTACACCTTCCTTACCTTCCCACCCTCCCACAACTGCTAGTGCTTTCCCTTCTAAACTACCTTGTGTTCAACCACTTTGTGCAATG